ACATACATACATACATACATACATACTAGTCAAAAAGTATAAAGCTGTATATTACAACTATAATATCTAGAATCCTTTAGCAACTATATTAAATTTTTATTCAAAAACTCACATGAAATATTTTTACAACTTGAAAATTAAAAAAAAGTATAAAAAATATATATAAGTTAAATATACATAATAATATATTATGCAACAATAAAGTTAGACTACAATAAAATAATAAAAAATTTAAGTACCATCTTTTTTGAACCACTTGGCTTGGTACATGCAACAGGAGTTACCACAGATATTTCTATAGTATATTATAAATTATATTCAAAACTGTTACTATATTCAAGTCACATCAATAAAAAATGATGAAAAAACGGAATAACTTTTATTAAAAATAAATTAGATTAACATACCAATGAGGCTCCCACTTTGTGATTGAACAGGATTAGATTTTAAACATGCTGCTTCTAATTTCTGTCTCTTAAGAGGAGGTAGCACATTAGGCAGATCTGTTTCAATGTTCAAAAACTGCAAATCTTCCATTGAACTAGCACCTTACTCCACCAGAAGAGGTAAGAGACGATATATATCTTTCACTGGAAGAACTTTACTTACGGAGTTATTAATTTCCTCCATTATTATGAAAAATCTTTATTAAAACAGAGAAAATAAAAACATTATCCCTGTTTGAACAAATATTGCTTATTTAGAATGACATTATTAACTAAACTAAACAAATAGATAATTTTCAAAAATAAATTTGAAAATGAGAACAATTTTTCACGAGAATCAAATAAATTGTCTATTTTAACAGCTGTATATTTAGATGTTTTACAAACATACCCAGCAACAGGGATGCAGAGTCCCAAAAAGGACTCCAGATATAAAAGTTACAAAAAGATTACCTCTTCCTAGTTTTTTGTATCCAGAAGCTCTAAAAATATAAAAAAGTTTATTGATTTATAATAGGAAAAAAAAAAACACTTTTAGGTAAGAGAAGCAATTATTTTTTAAACCCGGAGTCTTTAGGTATAATGGCGGCTAGGACTCCGGAACTCCAGAACTCCGGGCATGAAAACAATAAGTTCCATGTCATTAAATCTTATGAATTTTTTTTTAATGGCAGATCAGTCAACAAACATGTTTAGAGCTTCTGGACACTACAGACCTGAAAAAAAAATAAAGATATAAAGCGAGAGTTCTTTTGGGATGCAGAGTCCCAAAATTATGTGCATCATAATGTATGGTAGAAAATGTTTTAACTATAAGTGTGCATTTATTTTCATTATTATGAAAAACAGTAATTAAAAGTAAGAAAATTTAAAAACATTATTCGTGTTTGAACCAATATTGCTTATTTAGAATGAAATTATCAATTTACTAAACAAATACATAATTTTTAAAAAATAAATTTGAAAAGGTTTTGTAAATATTTCATTACTATAGTTTTGTTGCATCAATAACAAAATCAAATCAATAACAAAAATAAAAGATTATGCTAGTATATCCAGGTTAATATATTCATGTCTTGTTATAGCAAAACTTCTTCAATACTTTCTGAAGCCAGTTGACAATGACAGTACATGAGAATCAAATAAATTGTCTATTTTAACAGCTGTATATTTAGATGTTTTACAAACATTATACACAGCAATATGAGCATTATAATGTATGGTTGAAATTTTTTTAACTATTAGTGTGCATTAGTGAATCCAAATCCGGATTTCAGAATTCTGAAATTCCGTCATATTTTGAATTTTTAAAAATCCGGAATTCAAAAACCTAAATTCCGGATTTTTCGAATTTAGAATTTCGATTATTTAATTCTTATTTTATTTTTGAAGTTATTTAGAACTGTTTTTATAAAAATTTCAAACAAAACTTTTGTTTTGTTTTTATATTATGTATTTCTTCCGTTCTAAAAATTTTAATTTTTAGAACGGAAGAAATAAAAACAAAAGTTTTTTTTTGAAATTTTTAGAATTTCGAATTTAGAAGAACTTTTACTATAGATGGCAGCATTGTGTACTTTCATTGTTATAAATTCAAAAAATTTATATTTTAGTAGGCTTAGGCTACTGCAAATGCATTAAAAAATTTTTTTCAAATGAAATATTAACATTAAGAACTTAAATTGTATGCAGAGCAGACAAAGTAAGTCATTATATTAATTTTATGTTTCAAAAATTTTGTAGACTTACATTGTTATTGTTTTAAATCCCAACCCAAGTATGGTAGATAAATCTGAAGAAACTTTTATGGACATTTCAAAAGATAGCTCATCAAATTCAGTGTGGAAATATTTTCTACGAGGGAAAACAAATCAGGTGGCGAAATGCATGCAATGCAAGCAAGTTTTAAAGATATTGGGTGGATGTACAACTCCCATGCACACACATCTTCGTTCTAAACACAACACAGTTTTGAACAAGCGAAAGTTTGATGAAAATACAACAGCTTCTACATCTGACAGTAACGATAGTGTTGTGAGCACAACTAGAAAAAC